AAGATGGATATTTACTTCAGACTCTAGAAACATTGAAAGCTGCAAAAAGAAAAGCAGATGATCTATGTCAAGAAACAGTTAGCAAAGTTTTTTTTTTTTTTTATGTGCAAGGAATTGAACAATATCCAACAGAAAGGTAGAAAAAGCAAAATTCCCAAATTGGAAAATTCAGTCTATTTAGAAAGCCGGTTGTAGAGCAACTATTTTTACCTGAAGTTATCAGTCACATAAATAGCAATGTATATTTCATAAGCTGAAGTATCATCTTAAGCATATGTTTGCACCTTAGCAGTCCTAACCCTAACCAACAATTAAGACACATTTTGCAGTCAAAGTTTAGCCTGAAAATGTCTAGGGAAGCATAACATGTCTAAAGTTATAAAAGGTGAGCCCAGATGGCATGGTTATGTGATATAGGCAACCCAAAAACTAGAGTCGCATGGTAGTAAACAGTTACCACCACCATATCAAAAGTATTAACCAAAAATTTGAACAAATTGGGGGGGGGGGGGGGGTGTTAAGAAAAGAAAAGAAGCATAATTAATTTAAAAGCTCAATGCAACTATGATGGCATCGATGGTTAGTACTATATAATATGTTATGACATAAAGAATCAATTCTATCCTACCAAGGTGAAGATGAATCAAAATCTGACCATATAGAATTAATAAATTCACTTAATCCAAGCCACTAGCATAAAATTCCAAATAGCATCATAGCTAGAGATTTGGATGAAGGGTATGAAAGGCATATATATGAGTGTAAACTACAACAAACAAGACTGTTCAGGATATCAGAATCTGCAAAACTTCATCCAACCTATTACCCATGAAATATGTTCAGGAACTGTCATGGTCGATACAATTGATTTTTCAATTGTATTTGATGTTATGCCATATGTAAGGTCTTTATCGGCAAACCTTGAAAGTAAATATCCTACATAATAAAGCTAGAGAACTTCTCAGCATATAGCCAGATCAGAAAAGTAATCGCATAAGTCAAATATTAGCATGAATAATCCAAGAATATGAACAATGCCCTTACCTCCTATTAACCCCAGTTCAACCACCTTAGTATCAATTTCAGCTACAACAGATTTTAGTGCAAACTTTCATTTTTCCCATTTCTGCCTTTCTTCAATTTTTTTGAACTCTGCAGCTTCAGCTTTCAAAGCTACTTTTTGCAACTTCTCTTGCTGCATGCTAGGTTTTAATCCATTACTTAAATAACACAAGCTAAAAAGAAGCTAACACAAGTTTGTAGTAAAAAAAGTACTAGCCTCTTTCTTTATCTTTTTTTCTTCCAACAATACGAATCCATTCATCCTTCAGCATCTTCTTTTTTACAGTTGCTCCATTTGTACAACTTTTCTTATCAGAATTGGCTTTAGTTTTTTGTTTCTGCTTTAGTGCATTCCCCATCTGCTCCATGCTAAAATTTTCTTTGTCTAGATCACCATTTACCTGATCCTATTTCAGCAAACTATCTGTTTAATATAGCAGTTGACAATTCTTAAAAACCCAACATTTCTGTCAAGTTCTGCAAAATCTTGTCAAACTCATAAAATTTAAATAGATGAGCAAGTATCTTCAAGTTAGGTTTGTGCACAAGCAAGTGTGCAAGAGAGAGAGAGAGAGAGAGAGAGAGAGGGGAAGGGGGAAGGAGGGTGAAAACTTGCTAAGATGCAACACTAACACACTGAATATATTGCGAGCAACAATATGAAAAATAAATTAAAAGCAGAAAGCACAGTAGGAAGGAGGTGAGGAAACAATTTGTAGGCCCTAATACTAATAAGTACCTACAAACTCAAAAATGACCAGAAGTAAAATAAAATGCAAATGTTCCTTAAAATCTTCAATTTCACGCAAACAATTGGATGTTTAAAATCTTCTAATTGTCCACCATTCCTTTCATCCTTGGACTTTAAGAAGAGGAAGGAATAGCGGTGCTTGTTCCCATGACATTTATAATGCCAAACAAGGAGGAAAAACATCAATCATACAATTGAAAAGAAATAGAGAAGCGAAACAAAAGATGATCAACAATTTAACCATGCCACTCAGACAAGAAAAACAAAGTATTTTCATTTTTATTTTTATCAAGTTCTTGCTAATATCTGTTGACCTGAACCATCCTTGAAATAAGGAACTTTGGGCAGAACAGCAGCTTCCCCAGAATTCTAACAAGGAAAGAGAAAGACCCTACCTCACCATTGGTCCCAACTACCCTCCACAATAAATTTTAACATCAATGTTCCAAGTTTCTAGCAGGCTCACTACATCACATCAGTCAATGCTCCAAAAATCTGAACTAAAAAGGGAATACTGATAAGTATTGCTGACTCAAAATTCCAACCAAATTTGCCTGAGTCATGGGATTTAATGCAAAGTCCAACTGATCAATTAAGAAATAAAAAAAGAAGCTAGATCTCTATCATCCAAGAAAATAAGAATAAGAATTTTCCTAAAGCTTAAGGTGTCATAAGTAAGTGTAATTCTCATGTAATTTTTCTTTATGAAGTAAGATATACGTTCAACTTTATTAAGTTTTTGAAATATCTATCAATACATTTGCTTACCACTTCAAATACATGTTTAACCTAATTTCTGCATTCCTTTTTGCTATGGCTTGAAAATTAGGAAACAAGAAAACAACAACCTACTTGGCTATTTCAGAAGCTCAATAATGCACCATTTTATAATCATACATCAAGAGGAGGTAGCAGGTCAGCATCATCTTGTGTATACAATGGCTGAGAAGAACTGTCCTCCTCGCACATTTGGATTAGATGAGAACTCCTTGATACTTCCATTAACATAAAAGAAAACAGATATAGAACTACTGAATATTCTTCCTTTTGAAATTTTCAAAATCATAGCAAGGTTTCTAGAATCAAACAACCACATGTAAAACTTGTAGAGATATGATTCTCCTAGTGCAGCTTGATCCGATTCTCTTACATTAGTGTAAATCTGATTTTTTGACATGATTACAGCTTGATTTTTTTTAATTTATTTTGGGGATATTTCTCATTTATTTTTTTGATTTGGTCAACTATTTTGATTGTCAAGTTTTTAGGGCTTTGTTTTTATTTTAGAATAGAATAATTCTACTTCATTTTATTATTTTTTGTTTTTTTATTTCATGTAAGTTGTCTCCTAATAAGGAACTTCACTGTTCCTATTTATTGAGATGTACTCCTTCGTTCTAGATAGAATAAGTAGAAATGAGGACAATTGTTCTTTAAGTTTTCTATATGGTATTAGGCAAATCGGCCTGAACCATTATACTATAACCACACGAGTTTCCGTTATGGCTAACAAAAGTGAGAATTCTTCTTCTGCAGAGGTATAACATGAGGAAAGTTATAAAGAGGTGATGCTCCAACAAACCCTTCAAAACAAGTCTGCAACCTTTGGACTTAGTTTGCTAGCACAAAAAGGTAATTTCTTAAACACTTTATGTGTTCAACGAAGAAATACACAATCTTGGATTGTTGATTCAAGAGCATCAGACCACATTACTAGAGATGTAGTCAACACATATAGACCTTGCTATGATAGTTCTGTCGTAAAAATTGCTGATGGTTTTCTCCCAAAGGTGGTAGGAACAAGTTCTATTGTAGTTTCGAAAGACATAACACTTGACTCTATCCTCCAAGTCCCTAATTTAAGCTGAACCTACTTTCCATAAGTAAGCTTATGAATGACAGATGTTGTGTCACTAAATTTTTTTTCAACTTGTGTGAATTTCAGGAATTGGGCTTAGGGAGAATTATTGGCAGTGCTAGGATATGTGCATGGCTCTACCTTCTTCAAGATGATTTACTTGAGAGACCACAAAACTCTTGTACAACCTTAGCCTCTAGTGCAAATAAGGCTGACCTTCTCATGTTATGGCATTATAGATTAGGACATCTAAATATTTCATACCTAAAAAGGCTATTTCCCTCATTATTCAATAACATCTCTAAAGATTTTTAGTGTGAAATTTGTCAACTTTTCAAGCACACTCGACATACTTATCCTAACCTTTCCTATAAATCAGACTCAACTCACTTGGGTATTCCTTATAAAAGAAAAATCCGAGGTTAGCCAAATCTTTCAAAACTTCAATAGCATGGAACAAACCCAATTTCAAGCGAAAATCCAAGTCCTAAAAACTGACAATGGAAGGGAATACTTCAACTTTATTCTTGACCCTTACCTCTCCAATCATGGCATTATCCATCAAAGCTCTTGTGTTGACACTCCATAGCAAAATGTGGTTAGCGAACATAAAAACAGACATTTGATAAAAGTGAACAGATCCCTCTTGTTCACTTCCAATATGCCTAAATATTTTTGGATAAAAACTGTTCTCATTGCAACTTATTTGATTAATTGAATGCCTTATCTAGTTTTTAGCTTTAAAACACCTTGTCAAACTCTCATTGCTTGCCACCCACAAACTCGGTTGATATCTTCCATTCCCATCAAACTCTTAGGCAGCATTGCCTTTGTTAATATTAGCCAACAAAATCACAGCAAGCTTGATCCCAAAGCCTTAAAATGTATTTTCCTTGATTATTCCCTAAACCAAAAAGGCTATAGGTATTACTCATCAATCACAAAAAAATTCTATAGCTCTATGGATGTCACCTTCTTGGAGAATTTTCCATACTACAGCAAGAATGATATTCAGGGGGAAAATACTACTCGAGAATATCAATTCTTAGCTGTTGGCTTGCTAATTTCCTAACCAGCCCCTTCAAAATCAGATTCTCAACCTACCTAACCTATCAGCCATGCAGATTCCAAAACCCAACCTATTCAGACAACACTTGACTCTTTAAACCCTAAGGTTATGCAAGAAAAAACAAAAGAACTGATAGTCTACTCAAGGAAGTAAAAATCGCAGGAAGCAATGGACAACTGTACATAGCCTAGCACTAAAAATCAACCTGATCTAAGTCTCCAAAAACCTGAAACTAACACAAGTAATGTCCCTATTGAACCCAAAACTGAAACTTGTGAGCCAACTGATGACCTTGACATTCCTATTGCATTAAGAAAAGGTGTGAGATCATGCACCAATAACCTATCTGCAAGTACATCTCATATGACAGGTTAAATCCAAACTTTTGAGCCTTTACTACTAGCCTTGACAATGTGCAAATTCCAAAAAATATTCAAGAAGCCCTTAATGAATTAGATTGGAAAGCAATAGTTCTTGAAGAAATCAAAGCACTAGAGAAGAATGAGACATGGGAAATTTCACATTTGCCCAAAAAGAAAAACCCAGTTGGATGTAAGTGGATCTTCACAATAAAGCACAATGAAGATGGAAATATAAACAGGTTCAAAAATAGACTTGTTGCAAAAGGATTCACTCAATCCTATGAAATAGACTATGAGAAGACATTTGCTTTGGTAGCCAAACACAATTCACTTAAGAGTTCTATTGTCACTAGCAATAACTTGGATTGGCCTTTCCACCAACTTGAAATCAAGAATGCATTCTTAAATGGTGACTTGGAGAAGGATGTCTCCATGAAAATTTCTCCTAGTTTCGAAAGCAAGACAATATGGGCATAGCGTGCAAACTTCAAAAATCTTTGTATGGACTTAAATAGTCTCTTCAGGCCAGGTTTGAATGGTTGACCAAGGCAATGAAGAGGTATGGATTCCTTCAATGTCAATCTGACCATACTATGTTTGTTAAGTTCACTAATAAAGGAAAAAGAGTTATTCTTATTGTTTATGTGGATAATATCATAATCACCGAAGACCACAAGGAAAGAATAGATGATTTGAAGAAACTCCTTGTAAAGGAGTTTGAAATAAAAGACTTGGGGTTCCTTAAATATTTTCTTGTGATGGAAGTGGTTTGGTCTAAGAATGGAATATTAGTGTCTTAGTGTAAGTATGAAATTGATTTACTCAAAGAAAACAGCATGATTGGATGCAAACTTGCTAATACATCCATGGACTCAACTAATAAAATTCGAAGTGAAAATGGAAGCTCTCCCACAGACAAGGGCGATACCAAAGACTAGTTGGGAAGGTTATTTACCTCTCTCACACACAACCTGAAACTGAGTTTGCAGTAGGAATGGTGAGTAGATACATGAATAATATAACCAAAGAGCATCTCAAGGCTGTTCATTGCATCCTACAATACTTAAAGAAGAGTCTTAGTGAAGGTCTATATTTTAAGAAGTCTATTAGTCTTAGTGAAGGTCTATATTTTAAGAAGTCTATTAGTCTTAGTGAAGGACTATATTTTAAGAAGTCAATAGACTGGGCAATCAAGGTGTGCACAGATGTTGACTGGGCTAGATTAGTAACAGATAGAAGGTCCACTACTGGATATTGCAGTTATGTTTGTGGCAATTTGGTCACTTGGAGAAGTAAAAAGCAAGCTGTTGTAGGTAGAAGCAGTGTTAAGGCAGAGTTTAGAGCAATTTTCCATGGTATTTGTGAATGAATTTGGCTGATGGAGAACTAAAAGTTCAAACTGTGAAATCTATGACACTATTTTGAGATAATAAGGCTACTATAAGTATTGCCAAAAATCCTGTTTATCATGATAGGACCAAGCACATAGAGTTGGACTGACATTTCATAAAGGAAAAGATAGAAAATGGGTCAGTCAAACTGGCCTATATCCCTACAAGTTCACAAATTGCAAATATTCTAACTAAAGCTCTTTCTGGAAACATTTTTGACAGATTGAAATTCAAGCTGAGTATGATTAACATTCATAACCCAACTTGAGAGGGAGCGTAGAAATCCAATTCTCCTACATTAGTACAGATTTGATTCTCTTACATTACGTCAACTTGATTTCCTAATTTATTTTGGGAATATTTCTCATTTATTCTTCTGATTTAGTCACCTATTCTGATTGTCAAGTTTTTAGGAATTTATTTCTATTTTAGAATAGAATAATTCTCCTTCCTTTTATTATTATTTTTTTTTTGTTTCATGTAAGTTGTTTTCTAATAAGGAACTTCACTGTTCCTATTTATTTAGATATACTCCTTCATTCTAGATAGAAGAAGAAGAAATAAAGACAATTGTTCTTTAAGTTTTCTACAAAGCTATTGTAGAGACAACATCAACAAACCTACATGACATTCACAATCAAAAAATCTCGAATGCCATTCTAACTCCTCAGACTCATCAATGTCAGAATCCTTTAATCGATTCTCCTGATCACTGTTCCTTTTAGAACTGTTGCGAGACTCATTATCAGATTCCAAACATATCAATCTGGTTATTCTGTTATTTAGGAGACAAAGCCAGAAAGATGAAAGTAAATGTCAAGCAAAAGGACAACTGATAATGACCCATTGCAGTTTCTTTTTAACCAACAAAAACTTTTAACAAAACCAAAGACAGAAAAGAAAGGAATAAAATACCAATAACTCCAAAATGACTCCAGATAGCAAAAGCAATAAGCGAACAAAAACAAAAGAAGCATAAAAGCATCAAATCCCAAATTAGTTTATCCACAAACTGCTAATAGAAAAACCTCTTTTAACTGCAATAACAGGGAAAAACTTACACTTTTCATGATTTAACAAATGCTTTAGTTCTGTTTGGTTGTAACTTTGTTGCTTGTTTTTTGCTTCTAAAAGCAAAAAAGTTAAACAATTCACATTTTTGAATGATTAAAAGTTAAATATTTAACATTTCTTAATAACAAAATATAAGATTTTACTTTTACATAAAACAAAAGTATGTTCAAATGCAGTTATATTTTAGCTATTTACTCATTTTTTTTATCATACATGGTTTTCGTTTTCACCATTTGCTTTGCATTTTTACCAGATTATCACTCAAAATTACCAAAATTGAATAATTTTCATTCAAATTAAAACGAAAATGAATAAAAAAAACCCAAATTACAACCCTAACATTAACCAAAATTCAACCAAAAAATGGATGTAAAAGGGAAAGGGACGAACCAGAGAGTTTGGTATCTTCAAGTTCAGGATCCCAAGCGCAAACCGACGGGCCAGCATTGAAGTACCTGATGACCGAAAGCTCAGATAACGGAGCCTCGGCCACGAAAGAAAGAGTGGAATCGGAGTTGAAAGCGGGGCCTAGTGAGAGTTTTTGCGGGGTAGGGTCATCGTCGAGAACCAGAACCGAAGGGAAAAGAAGGTCCGGTTCGGCTTTAGGCTTCTTGGAGATGGATGAGAATGGGGTGTTTGGGTCGTCTTTGTCGGACAGGATGATTGGATCCGACATTGAGTGTTGTAGTTTGCTTTCGGCTTGAATAAGCGCGGGATTGGATAAGGGAAAGTTGTGTTTGGTAATGGGGATTAATTTATTTTTAGGTTGGTTCACTTGGAACTAGGGCTTCCACAAAAGGCTCGGCCCAAGTTTCAACACCAATCTAATCTATACACCCTGTATTTTGAGTCCAATTTTTTGTTTGGGTTAATTTCTTTTTTTCAATTAATGGGTGATTATAAGGAAATTTTAAAAATAATTAAAATACCTTTTAAGAAAATATTTTTGAATTTAATGCATTATTTTCATTAAAATCAACAAAGGATAGTAGTACATTATTTATATTTTTATTTTTAAATGTCACCTTAATCAATATCATTAAACATTCGTTAATATTTTTTATTTTTTTAGTTCGAGCATTTTTTTTTTTATTATTACAACTTTTGAAAGTATAAAGATAAAAGGCATTGGACGAAAAAAATAAAAGAAACAGGTTTGACTTTATGAAAGAAAGTAGTATGTTTGAATGTTGAAAATTTATTTGGATAAGAAAAATATAATAATTTATTAATATATAATAATACATATTACCTTTTTCGTGTGTAAAATTTTGGTAATATATAAAAAGAAGTAATCCTCACCTATTCCATAAATTTTATCCTACCCATCTTAAGATGGTTATTTTTTGTTTTAAATATATTCTTATGTTTAATTTGAATTCAAATTGCAAATGTGGTAAGGGCAGATTAAACAAGTAAAAAAATGTTTACATGTAATTTTGTATGTTAGCCGATTAAGGCGCTCTTGATATGAAGGCACCCCAAAGGCATTAGCAGGATTTAAAATCCCAATGCTAAATACACATATCTCATATAAATAAATTGTATAAATGTATATATTAGATAGTTTCTTGTGGTTGCTGCGATTGGTTTTTTTTTTTTTAATGATAAAATTTCCAAAAATTTATAAAATTAATCGATGTATAGTTGGTAATAAGGAAAAAATTCATATAGCAGTCATATTATAATATAGCAAGTTTATATACTTGTTGAGTATAGACCATGAACTTTAACCTCATTTTAGGGCAGGTTACATAGTAAATCAATCACTCCATCATCATTCAACATGTCATCAATTTAGGAAATTGTAGGTTAAAATATATGTATGTTATATGTTAGATATATATTATATGTGGACATAAGAGAATGGAGAAATCAGCATATAAATAGTAAAAAGAGGAAGACAATGCAAATAGATTTGTTTTTGGTTTCTGCAAGAAGAATAAACAAAACAGCATAACTACTTCATAAAACCAAATTTTCATGGATTCCATCTAATTTAAAGTCGCTTGAAGTAATTCAGATTTCCACATTACATGGCAAAACAAAAAGAAAAGAATTTAAAATAGAATAAGATCTCGGGAAGAAGAACAAAAGTATCTAAACATACATAAAAGATATTCTAAGATTTTAATTTAAATTTGTAGATAAAAATAAATAATCATTAAATAAAAATTGTATTTTTAGTCTCCTCAGAGGCTGTATTCTGGGGGAGGAGGGAGTTCTAGTAGGATACGCAGTCTGCTTTCAGGATCCTTTCGGTGAAGCGATCTTGGGGCTGAGTAGTGAGTGGTAGTTAGTGGTAAGAGTAGGGAAATGAGTTGTAGGAAATATTAGGATTGGATATGGCAGAGGATCTGGAAAGTGCATGGAAGAGTTTAACGTTGACAGAGGCGGAGAATGAGTGCATTGAGAGATACAAAGCAATATGAGAAAGATAACTTAGCGGTGGATTGTTAGATAGTAGGGAAGCTATTAACCACAAGGTCGTTTAATCGAGATACTATGAAAAACACATTTAGAGTAATATGGAAACTGGTGCAAAAAGTCCACATATGTGTTCTAGACAATAATCTCTTCCTGTGTAAATTCAGTTCAAAGAAAGACAAGCTCAGGGTAATGAACGATGATCCTTGGTCTTTTAACAAGAAGTGTTCCTCCTCCAAGGTCTCAGGCCCACAGATTACAATTTTGACAAAGGTTTATTATGCGTGTGGGTATACGACATCCCATTAAAATGGATTAACCAGACGGTGGCTGAAAGAATTGGGCAGAAGATTAGGATAGTTAGAGAAGTAGATGAAAATAAGGACGACTTGGGATGGGGAAGGTTCTTAAGAATAAAAGTAGAGATGGTCGTGACGAGGCCGCTAAGGAGGTTCATTTCTTTAGCCAAACAAAAGGGTGACAACAATATATCGAGAAACTTGTTAGCTTTAAATTGATTATTGTTTTGAAATTACAAAATATTAAGCTAAATAAACTTAATTAAGATTTTAAAAAAGATTTATTTAGTACATATTTTTAAGTTTTATTATTTTATATTTTAAATAAATAATATAATTTTCAAAGTTTAAACAAAATTTTATTTATGTTTTCTTATTTCTCAAATCAAAACTATCTTTAAACATTATTTATTTAAATTTAAATGAAAGTTCAATTGCTATTTTTAAAGTGAACATATTATTTTGGACTCAATCTAATTTTGATAATATTAGCTTTGAGAAATAAATTAACTTAAGAAAGTTATTTTATAAAAATAAAATTTTTCAACTTTGAACTTGTTTTATTTTTCTGTATTAATTCACAAAGTTTTAATTTTTGAATTTTATATGGTTTGAAAGCTTTTTGAGTTTACTTTCTAATGATCAAATAAAATCTAAATCTAAATTAAAAAAAATTTAAATTTTTACTAAACAGTTTATAGCTATCTAAAAACTACATAATTGCTAGTTTTAAAAATTCACTATAATTTATATACAATGAATTAGGTAATGAATTTTATATAGATAGAAAGCCCTCTAAGTTTGGTTTCGAAATCTTCAAATGAATTTTTATTTAGAGTTGTATAATTCAATATATGATCAAATTAGTGAGTAAGGTACAAAATGGAAGAAAATCACCCAGCTTGACCAAATTGATCCCCTAGGTTACAGGATCAATCTTCTAACTAAATCAATCGATTCCCTTTCGTAATGAATTGATTGATTTTTTTTACAGAAACAAAATAGATTTGAAAAATACCAAAAGAAATCTATCCTCTACAAGAAAGAATCTATTGGGTAAGGTACAAAATCAATCATTTATCAAAATCAATCGATCTACTATGCCTAGAAAAGCTCCAACGCCTAGGTTTTTAAGTTTCAATTGTTTTTTTCAACTCCAAACCATCCCCAAAGGTTAACTTTTCAATTCTTCTATAAATTAGGCATTCCAACATACTAAGAAGGTTGATGAATCAAGAGAACACGATCAAAAAAGTTATATTTTCATTCTCTCAAAGAAATCAAGAGTTATAAAGCTTAAATTCAATATCCTTTGTATTTTTTGTATCCAAAATATTATTGTGTTTCATTCACCATTTTCTTGGTACTTCATTAGGCAAACATTTAACCTTGAGAGGTATTTTAGTTTGCAAAAATTATTTAGGTTTTCTTGTAAATGAGGTATTCTCTTAATTGTGTAAAAGTAAAGGTTTCTATCTTAAGCTTTAGGAAGAAAAAGATGGGGTTGTATTCTCAATTTAAGATTAAAGGATTAAAACCTTAGTATGGACAACCAAGAAAGATGACGTAGGTGCCTTATAGAGAATGATCGAAACTTTATAAATCATTATATTTGATTTCTCTATCCCTATCTCTTTATTTTAATTATAGTTTATATTT